TCATCTATTTCTTTGCTTAGGCTTTCTATTTTTTCATTTGTTTCAAGTCTGTAATTGCTTAATGGAGCATTTTTATTATTATAGCTTCTTCAAAATCCTTGTCAGGTAATTCCAACATCTGTGTCTCATCTCAGTGTGGTGTCTGCTGATTATCTTTTGTCATCTGAATTAAGATTTTCCTGGTATGATAACGAGTATTATATAATGAGACTCTGCTTTCTATTTTAGTAGGCAGTCTAACTGTTTAGATTCCCAGCTCACTTTCATGGGCTGTGGCTCAAATATCAATTTAATGGTCAAAAGCCTTTTCACTGATATTTTGTTCTGCCCCACTTGTAGGCTACCTAGAGGCCATTCTGAAACCTGACTAGTCTATTATGCCACAGTTCAGTTCTCAGACTTCTTTCTGTATTGATTCTGATCACTTTCACACATGGCACATTCAGAGGTCTGCCTGGGATTCCAAACAGAGATTTTAAAAATCCCTTTCTCAGATGGCCTCCTCTTCCTAACTCTCCCTCAACTCTAGTTGGAAGAGGAATGGGGACCTCCTCATTACTGCAGTGTGGCAACGATGGGTTTTGTCCAAAGTCTCTGCAGTTCTAATGCCAGTTGGGAGAGGTAGAGGTGCCCTCATGTTCCAGGACAGATACAGTGACAAGGCTGTGTTCAATCTCCACAGCTGTTTGCACCTATGGAGGGTAGAGAAGCAACTTTTCATGATGTTCACCTGGAATAAAGTGGCTATGAAGGAGGACACAAAAAACCCCAGGATTATCTTCTGGAGAGTGGGCCTCTTGTAGTATAGGCTTCCCCCACTAGGTGAGTGTTCTAGGAACTCATCTGTATCAGTGTACCAGCTGGCATTGTCGTGAGAAGCTGTGTTCGGCTTCAGTGAATTTCCCATTTCATGATGGGTGATGTATGAGTGTACCTGCCCACACCGTGCTGAGTGTTCAGCAGATTTTGACCAAAAATGGCGTGACCCCTGTGCCCCACCCTCCCTATTCACCCCATCTCACCCCAAGTGACTTTTTTTTTGTTTCCCCAGATGAAGAAAAAAGTCCTCAAAGGGAAACATTTTGCCAATGTAGAAGAGGTGAAACAAAAAACAGCAGAAGCACTAAAAGCCATCAAAATAGATGAGTTCACAAACTGTTTTTAAGCAGTGGAAAAAAGGTCTTGATAGGTGTATTGCTTCAAATGGAGTGTACTTTGAAGATGACTGAAGTTTAAACACATAAGAACAAATAAACAATCTTTTATAAATAAATTCCAGAGTTTTTTGGCTCTATAAACTGGTACTTTTAGCTTGGAAAATTCTCTAGCACCCTCAACTAATATATACAGGAGGCAAAAAAAAAAAAAAAAACCACAACAAGCAAACCAACAAAACACAGGAAATTCACTCTGTACAAGATTTCTTTTTTTTGTAATTAGCAGGAAGAATAGTGTATAATGTGTCTTCTACATCTTAACCAGAAACAGAAGCCTGTAGTTTAAGCCTAACATATTTTCAAATATTTAATGCATATTTAACTCACACCTATAATGTTACTTAGTTATTAGCAAACTAATGATTTTGTGTTTCCAGTGACATCTTGGCTCATATAGGTTCCTTTTAAAAAATGATAAACTGACTTTTATTTAACAATTTAAATCTTGAGAACAACATGGTACTTTATTTTCTTATATAAGGTAAAAGGAAAACAAAACATTTGCTTGAAGAAAAGAATTCTAGAAGTGAACACTTAAAGAGATTTAACTAGAAGTGAACACTTAAAGAGATTATTTAAAGCTTCTATGGGACGCAGGCTTTGAACACAGGAAGTACTCCCTGTTTTTAAAAGCTTTTTCTTAGGGTTCAGCTTTATTTCCTTTTTCAGCCATTATGGAAGTACAAATGGCAGGGCACTGGGTCCTTTGGTTGTAAAGCCATAGTATCTATCCTATCCCTAACCTTTTAAACATAATCAACCCCCTCATATGGTATACTATAAAACCCCTCTCTTTATTTCTAATTATACTTGCAGCTTCAATATACAGTCTCCTTTACAAACCCTGACACTTCAGAACCCAGAAAATCCAGTCACTCCTGGTGGAAGAGGATTCATACCAAAACTCAAAATTAAAACAAACCAAAAACAAATAAATAAACAAACCTCCAAACAAGCAGACAGACAAAAACCCATCACCCTCAGGTAGATCTAAGGAAGAGAAAAATCCAAAGCTATATGGCTATTTTAGTGGCAGAACATTAACTAGGATACTTCCAACAGTCTTAGATAGCCTCTGATATGCATTGACTTGATAGAATAAATGATGGTGCTGAAAAAAGTTGTAACAGAGAAAATGTAATCATTTTTAAAAATTCACATAAAAACCTCTGCTATGCTGATTAATCCATTTCATTAAACCAGTGAAAAATCATTCTTTTAAAATAGCTTTCATGCTTAAAAAAACACTGGGAAAAAAATTCCAGTTAAATGTATTCCTTAAAAATATGTATGTTTAATTTTGTTGGAATGGGAGAAAGGACTCTTATTTATCTCCCTCCGGAGATGAAGAGTGTCTGACATCTTTAACCTCTAACAAATAAGGTGTTAAAAATACAGTTTTTGACATCAAAAAAACTTTGACTACATAGAAAAAATGACCATGAATATATTTAATAACTAAAGAAAATTATTTTTCTAAAACTTTTTTCCTACTAAGATTTTCACTGTCTCCTTGAGTACTAAAAACCACTTTTTCAGTGGAAAAAGAAGGAAAGCATGAAAGTAAGAATTTGTTAAATAGTAATAACTGAAACTGAAGTTAAGGTTCAAGTGAAATGCTGTTTTGCCAATGCCTCAAAAATTAAAAAGCCAATGTAGTTTTATATCATTAGCACAACTTACAAGTGAGATTCTCTCACACAGAACCAAAGAAATCAGCAGACAGAGGGTTAAATTTGCACTACGGGTAAAAGGGCTTGGACACTTAAAAAACAAGAGGAAAAAGAAACTAAAGCAGTTTCTTGTTACAGTGTGGGGAGCTGAACTATGACCAAATCATAGTTTAAATACAAATTTTGTTGGGTGAAAATTTAATAAATATGTGGAAATGGAAGAAACTCAGAAACCATAGTTATTTCCATTTTAAATGAGGATGATAGTTCTGCACCACCAGCTGTTTATAGTTCATTGAATGAGGTTCTAGTTGATAGGAGATAATTACCTCTTCTCCATAGGAGGCAAGTGTTTCTTGTTCTACAGACACCTCTGATGAATGGCCATGGGAGTATGAGACCAAGACAGCATGCCAAGATCATTTTGGTTTTCAATGATCTCTTTAAACACTTGGTTTTTATTTTTTTTCCTATTTAAGTATAAGAAAATGTTCACCTTAAAATATGCAGAATCAAGTCACTGGCTATTATTTTCATTTGAACCTTAAAAGGAAATCACAGTGATTGGACCCAGGAAATATACATACCATCAACAGTATTGAAAAGGATAGACATGTGCCCTGGCCAGGTATCTCAGCTGGTTGGAACGTTGTACCGAACAGAAAAGGTCAAGGGTTCAATTCCTGGTGACAGCACATTCCTAGGTTGTGGGTTCAATCTCCAATAGGGAGGCAACCGATCAATGTTCCTCTCTCTCTCTCTCTCTCTCTCTTTCTCTCTCTGTCCCCTGCATCCTCTATCCTCTCTCCCCCATTCCTCTCTCTCTCAAATCAATAAACATATCCTTGGATAAGGATAAAAAAAAAAGGATAGGCATGATGATTTCAGCTTGAGTGTTGAAAATTCTATTTACTAACATTGTTTTCCCCTGAAGACCATATATCTGTAAGCTCCCTGTCAATTAATGATGCCTCCATTGTCCCATTCCTTCAGCTCTTTCACCAACTTGGAAGGGCCTATCAATTCTATCTTCCCAGTCTCTCTCAAATTTGTCTCTGCAGTTCTAATGCAAACTGCCACATACGTTAATATTTATCACTTGCTGAATGGTCTTCTAATCCTAAATGGTCTCCCTGCTTTTAGTCTCTTTCAGTACTAATACAGTTTAAGCAAAATTCTACTTTCACATTAATATCACTAAAGCACCACTCTCATTGTGCCACTCTTACGTGTAAAAACCCTTCAAAAGTAGGTTGTGACTCCAAAATAGAAAAAAGCTTATGACAGATGAAGCAAAAAAAAAAAAAGTAAATCAATTCTATCCTCACAAATATGTAAATATAGATATGCATATTAATAACTAGAAGAGAACAAAACATGAAGAGAATAAATTGAAAATGTCCTGGGACTTGGGGTTTACCCTTGACTTTTACTTCCCATTTCTTGTTAAAATAATTTTTATGCAATAAATAAACTTTAAGTAACCACTTACTACTCAAAGCTTAACCTATAAAGCTGAACCTGCACCCAAGAACCTCAGCAATCTGGCTGCCCAACCTACCTTTTTCCAGCTCATTTTCCATCTCTCCTTTTACATAACCCAGAAGTCCAGACAAACTAAAATATCCCGTATCTCATTGTGTTCCTGTATTGCCCTTTCCCAGCTATGGACAATTACACATACAATTAATCATAGCTTCAGCTAGTGTGTTCTGCTCCTGTGCGTCGAAATCCTAACTATCCTTTACTGCTAAGTTCAAATAATACTCTTTCCACAAAACTATCCCTAACATCTCCTTCCTCCCATGAGGATTTCATTTATATCTCTTGTATAAAATGTAAAACTTTGTTGTTTGCATTGTAATTGTGTGTGTGCACGCACACGTGTACATAAGTAGCCCCCTTTCAGGTAGGGGCCTTACTTTAGCCATCTTTGTATTCCATTCAAGGCATCACAGAGTCTGACTGAATAAATATGTCAAATGACTGAATAAGTACTCTCAAAAAGCAAGGGCTAGGAAGACTAAAAACCAAAAGCAACTCTTACTTTTAGTTTTATTATGATTTTCCTTCTTTTTCACTCAAGTTTTTCTTAATCTAAACTTCTTACCTGAAGATATGTTATTCTCCGTTGGACCAGTTCTGTCAGATCTTTGGCCTCTTTTTCCCGCCAATCACCTGCTCCATCTGTTTGACTGAGGTAGTACAGATCCGTCATTATAGACCTATAAAACAACATTGGAAGTCTTACTTATTTGTACTTCATCATAGGATTACACAATCATAAGAAGAGAGTGAAATTCTCCATAAAGATTGATGTTCACAATGATGCTGATACTCATCTTTTATTTTCTACCAAGGCTGTGAAATTTAACAATTAGTCTCTAACATCCAGGATTCATTACTATTGTAAATTTTTACTGGTAAGTAAAACACACCTCTATCCAGTCGTACTTATATAATAAGTTGTACTTATTTCCCAACACAGAGCACTACAAAGACTAGTGCAAGAGGAGTACAACAGACTAGAGGAAGTAAATACCCATAGCAGGCAGGCAAGCAGGCAGGCAGGCAGGAAGGAAGGGCGGGAGGAAAAAGGGAGGGAGGGGGGAAGGAAGGGGGAGGGAGGAATAGATTAATATAAGGGAAAGAAGTTAAGTTGGTGCCAGTATTTTAATACTACCTTTTTGTTCTCACTACTGTCATTTCCTCTCCCCTCTTAAATTTTCTTTTTATACTTTAACACTGAGTGGCTGGAAAAGGATCAGAGAAAAATTTTGACATAACTCTTAAATGCAGGTCTAAGCCAAGGGACAGCAAACAGTTTTTTCTGTAAAAAGCCAAGTAGTAAATATTTTAGGCGTCATTGGTATCTGTTGCTTTTACAGCAGGAAAGATGCCACAGACAATATGGAAATGAATGGATGTGCCTGTGTACCAATAAAACTTCATTCACAAAAACAAGCTATGAGGCAGATTTGGCCATTGGGCCATAATTTGAAAATCCCTGACCTAAACTAATAAAATGATTATTAAGACACTTCCCCATTTTTGCATAGCATGAGTAATTTCAATTATAAAATGGTGAATTTCCTACAAAGTAAACTAACCTACCCAGGACATTACCAAGAGAAACTTTAGGGCTGGTGCAGATAGTTTTATTTATAGTGCATTAGATAAAAGCCATGACTTATATTTACCATAAAAAAAGCAAGATCCTCTCTTTCTCTAACAATCCCTACCAATCTATCAGCAACCATTTAGTCAATTACTAATCACATTATCACCATTGGCATTGTTACCAGTGAACACTGAACCATCGACCAAGCCAACATCTTTTCTCCCCTGATTTCAGTAGTAGCCTTTGAATAGGTCTCTACACCCTGCTTTCACCCCTGCCTACCTTTACAGTCTATTCTCAAAAGTAAATTAGAACAGTGAAAACATAAAAGTGAATGTTTTTACTAAGTTGTATGAGTACTAAGTTTTGGCAATTAATTATTCATATCCATTCTAATCTGTCTAGAAAGTAGAATAACAAAGCCTGTAACTAGGAAGCCAATATCAAAAAGAGAAGCACACAACAATCAATTAAAATTGAGTTTGCTTTTTAAATATTTTTTTCTTGGCCTCCTCAATGAAGATCACACAAGGAAGACAAGCCCAGAAAACGATGTTAAATTCAAACTAGTTCTTTGATGATTGAATAATGTTTAGAGGTTACCATCCTGCATAATGTATCATCTTTGGGCCAAAGACATGAGAATAACCAAACAAAAAGTTTCAGTTGTGGCCCAGTATTGGGAAACATAGTGACTGAAAACTATTCTACAGAAATGCTCAGTGAAAACATTTTTCAGTGATTCCACTCTGAAATCCTATCTCCTAAAAGTGCCCCAAAAGCTAGAAATTTGGCTGTCTTGGTTTTCACTATGAAGATATCAAAAACTATGGAAGATGGGTGGTAAATTTAAAGGCCTGGATGAGGCCAGGTCAAAGCCTAGAAAATACAAATCCAGGCAAGGTACTAGCAGAATATTGTTAGTCATTTAAGGGTAACGTACAAGTGCCTGAAGACAATCGGTGGAATGGAACAGAATCTATGACTTTGACAGCAAGCCCACTATGTCAGGCAACAAATCCTTTATTTCAAAAGCTGGGCTACATTTATGTTCTTTGTATTTTCTGTTAAATTTCCTATTTTAGTATTCACAAAACTTTTAAATGTCCTACTCTGTTCTTAATCATGCCATTGAAGAGCCACAAGAAGACTATTTAGCTTATGCCTGATTCAAAATGTTAAAGAGAGAAATTCCCTGAGGACCAGCATAGAACAGATGTAATTCAAGCAAGAAAATCCCAAAGTAAAGAAATGAATCCTTATTAAAGTAAATGCTGCATGAACTGTAAACAAATGATTATATATATTGAGTAACATTTTTTTTATCACGCACATTCAATGAAAAGAAAGTCCATTCTCCATTGCTTAGCATCAGAATTATACTCCAAATCAGAAATACTATGTTATTTTTAGGGATTAGTGTATAACCGTGTCTTAAGACTACTTTTAAATACAGGGATCACTTAAGTCCTCCAAAGTGATGCAAACATTGACTCAAGAATAATGAATACAAAAAAATTCTTCAATGTCAGATTGTCTTCTAATCTTCTAGAATAATTTTCTTCTAATTATCAGTATGATCCCCTCAGTTCACTAACTGACTTCTAACAGATATGCTCTCTGTCTTTTGCAGAAACCACTGTTGAAATCAACTAGAGTTTCCAGGTTTATTCAAGGTAAACGACTTTTCTTCTGTAACTTGCTCTTCACAACTTTTAGGATTCTTAATTGCTGAAGAATATTTTTACCTCAATAACATAATTTTCTTTAGCTGCATATTTTTCATAAATCCTTCAATGGAACAGTATTTGTTTTTACAAAAAGGCACAAAGTAGAGTATGGAATAGTCAGTCAAAGAATGCACATACCTGTCTCCCCACCCAATAAAGAAGACATAGCTTACTGAAACTAACTAAAAAGTGAGTGCTTAGCACTGTGAGGTAGAGAAAATGTTTAAGTTGGAGTTCCAGTTCTCAGGAGATTACAATTTGTCAGAGAAAAAAGCCAAATTAGTACAAAAGAAACAACAATGTCCATTTATGAAAGCTACCCTCCTAGCAAAATACAAGTCCTCAATTACTTTTGACTCCTCCTCTTCCCCACAACAGATCTGTTACCAAGTCCTGCAGCTTCTATTTTTCACATATTTATCCCCTTCTCTCCATTCCCACTGCAACTACCCAGATCCAGAAGCTCATTATCAAAATTCTTCTAATTTCTTGGCACCAGGTTTTCTTTCACATGGCTCTCAAAATGAGCTTTCTAAAATGCACAATAAGATTTAGTAAAGAATAAGTAAAGAATGCTTTAAGCTCAATAATAAAACAAATGATTCACCCCAAAATTAAGCATGTGATTTGAACAGACCCTTTACCAAGGATGATAGATGGAAGACAAATAAACACATTAAAAGATGCTCAACATCATTAGTAAGGAAATGCAAATTAAAATCACCATGACATACCGTTAAACTGCTATTAGAATGGTGGTGGGTGGTGGGGGAGAATGTAAAAAATAAAAATACCAAATGCAGACAAAAATACGGAGCATCTGGAACTCTTATGCATTACTGGTGAGAATGCAAAATAGTACCATCATTTTGGAAAACAGTTTAGCAGTGTCTTATAAAATTAAACATACACTTAACTCATGACCCATCCATCCCACTCCTAGATATTAATTCAAAATAAATGAAAACATTTCTACAAAAAATATGCATGTTACTATTCATAGTGGCTTTATTCATAATCACCAAAAAATGGAAAACAACACAAATGCCCTTTGACTGGTGAATGGATAAACTGTGATATGACCATACAATGGAATATTACTTAGCAACATAAAGGAATGCACTACCTATACACAAACTACATGGGCGAATCTCAAATGATAATGCCATGTGAAATCAATCCCACTCAAAAAGCTTCATAGTGTATGACTGCATTTACACTAAATTCTAGAAAAGGCAAAATTATGGAGACAGGAAACAGATCTGGTTATTGCCAGAGACTGGTGAAGGGGGACATGCTGATTACAAGGGGGCATGATGCAATTTCTGGAGGAAGCAGCAATTTGACTTGAACTATGGTGGTGATTCCAAAACTGTGAAGATCTGTCTGTAAAGATTCACAGAACTATAAACTAAAATATGTATGTGTTAGCATATATAAATTATGTTGTAATAAAGTTACTGCATTTTTGCTGCATATAATGCACTCCCATATATAACATGCACTCACATTTTTGTGCATGTTATACAAAGGATAATTATACCCATGGTATATAATCAATATACCCATGTATAATGCACATCCTTATTTTTCCCTCAAAAATTTGGGTAAAAAGTATACATTATACAGGGCAAAATACAGATGATTCAGAAAGAAAACAAAAAAAAGAAAGAGAATCAGTTCTCTTTCAGACTATCAGAAAAAGTTCTAAGAAAAAAAACAAAGCCCTTCTGAAGAAACAAAAATCCAGAAGTTTTTTTCCATATAACTGATGTTTTTATGAACCAAAAAAAAAAACAGATAAGTTCAGATTCACATGGAAATCTGAACAAGAAAACTGATAGTCTCAACCTTTGATTTATCAGAACAAGAAAACTGATAGTCTCAACCTTTGATTTATCAGAGAACACAGGAACACAAGCTTTCAGTCTAGAGACAACCTAGACACTACAATTTGGGAAGTATAAAAATGAAACAAAAATTTTTGTGTAACATAAAAATCCCCAGAGGCAAACATAAATGTCTGTCTTAATTCTTACACTTGAGGACCCTGAAAATTATTGCTAAGATGGCATATTTTATACACACACACACACACGCACACAAATTTTCTCTATTTGTACATTCATTAAATGTTATTTCTCTAATGTTTGATTGTGCTTTGCTCATTATTTGTATCACTGCATTCTACTCTGGCTGCCTGGAGTTCATCTACAACCCTGTGAAGCTGTATCCCCAGTTCATTTTGCTTTCTGCAAAAGACAGCAAAAGAAATTGATCTTTGTACCTTAGGTACCTTTATATTTTTATTTTCTATGAAATATTATTTAAAATACTGATATACTCAAAGGTAGTGTCAGGGAACATAATTCAACTTACAAAAAATTTAACATTGATGTACATGAACTATTTAGGACCTGATTTTTCTCATTTGTACATTTGTATAGCATTTCTACATATAGTAACAAGTATCTGCACCAAAAAAATTTTAAGTAATTACTTTGATTTAAAAAAAGACCTAAAAATTAAATTCTCAAGTAATGTAATTAAATCTCTCAAACTTTAAACATTCCAATAGTCTATCCATTTGGTCTAATGGTCTAACTACTGTTAACTGCAAACTAGGCTAAAAATTTCAAACGGCTTGTCTAATGTGTGGCATAATAATTCAATGTCCCCTGAAATTTATACTGTCTTATTTCTGTAGATCCATTAATGATTCCAATAAACTAAGAGATTTTATTTATAATTTCACTTAAAACAGTAGAGCAATATTTCAAACACTACAATATTGCTGATGATGTTAATATAATAAATCCCTTGGTTGAAGGGTAATTCTTCTCCTCTTCACAGTGGTAGGTTGTGTTACTACAATAATTTTTCACTTATTGTTCACTAATGAGACAGGTAATTGCCATAACAATCCTACTGAGAATATGGACTTATAAATATAATAGAGCGAAGGACAGTTTTCACTGTTTATAACGATTCTCAGATACATTTCGTTCCGCATGAACATACCAGCACCAGAATCCTTTCTTTTCTATGTAATACAAACTGCATATTTTCAAAAATGTACAAACAGAAGAAACAAATTTAATTTGGCAGATTTCAGGTTCTTCTTTCTAGCAACTAAACTGAAAAAGCAATGAAGAGAATGCCCCACTTTATCAAAAATCTGTTAATCTTTAATTAGATACCCTAAAAGTTTTTAAAGTTAAAGTTTTTAATATTTGAATTAGAAACATAATTGCCAGCCTCAGTATGAGTTCCACTATACTGTAATAGAAAATGGCAGACTTCACTTCAAATGTCAATTGTATATGAAGGAAATTTACAGGAAGCTTTCCAAGGTATTGTTGGCTGACACTACTATCGTCAGAGTTTACTTAGTATATAAAGATTTCTAGAAATATATTTTAAATAACATTTTCCAGGGATATATTTTTGATTGATGAACTACCTTTGATAATTATTGCCCTTTGAGATCTCAGGTATTCTCCTGCTCGTAAATATGGTAGGTATCATTTACCATTCAGCAGGGAAATTACCAAAAGTTCTAGTTTCCCATTCTTAGATTATAATCTTGGCTAAAGTACCTTTCATGATGTCCCAAATCTGACAGAAATTCATCTGCATGTCTTTGGAGTTCACTTCCTTCTAAATTCTTTAATTTCTTCAATTCACTTTGTAGAAAAAACCAGAGCTCTTTAGCTCCATTTTCAATCCTCCTCCTTAGGATTTCATGATCCTTCCCTAAACCTGCAGTCAAAGAACAGAGAGTATCAGCATTTCCAATATTCTGATGAAAGGAAATTTTCATTTGTACTATCAATATATCGAAGAGAAAAAATATTGTATAATCACCTACCATTTCTAGTTTGTTTCTTATAATTTTCAATTTGTTCTTTGGCCTTCACAAGTTGCTCTTCTAAAGCACGAATCCTTCCAGAAGCTGGACCCTGATCAATGGGGCCTTCTGGTATCCTGTAGTTCAGGGAAGAAAATGTAAACATTTAACTTATAAAATATGCAACAATACATGTATAATAAAGTTACATGCTAAATCATATTTATTGATTGGTAACTCTAAAAGTCACTGAACCATCTAATATATTAGAAGTACAAATGAAATTTCCTCTCCAAAGGTATACAATAAAACTTAGTAAGCACTGGGATTAACAGAAACAGAAATAAATAATCATAGGTCAGAGATCTATGATATTGTAGGAATTAAGGAAACTTTAGAACTCTTTCCTTACTAAAAGCTCTCATCATAATTGCTTAGAAAAACTTCGCCATGAGTGACAAAGTGGTCAATCCTTTGTTAGTGCTGAGAATAACAAAGGTGAAGGCCAGGGTAATAAAAAGGTTGAAAGGGGATAAGAAAGCACATATCTGAACATGTATCTATGTTCAAATATCAAATATAAAGTATTTCTAAATCAATCATAATATCAGGCTATGTAAATCCATGTTCCAGTTCATGAACTCATGACTTATATTACTAAGTATTGGTGTCACAGGGTAAGACAAGAGTAGAAGATGAAGTATATTAGGAAAAAACAGAAGATTAATGTCCTGTTTGTTTCTATTGGAAACAAAAAACATCAGTCAACAATACAAAATATTGAAACATAGCAGAAAAACTCCAGGATATCTTGCTTATATTATCAATCTATCTGTAAAACTTCTTTCCCAACTGTACTGATTTCTAACATGTTTTGTTTTTATGTGACTTTTGGCAGTACTCTGTACTCTGTTTTGACCATAAAAGATATCTACATCATAATCCTGGAACCTGTAAATGCTTCCTTATATGATAAAATAAACTTTAAATGTGTAATTAAGTTAAGGATCTTCAGGTGGGGACAGTCTTGCATTATCCAGGTTGGCCAAAACTGTAATCACTGCTGTCCTTATAAGAGGGAGGAAGAGGAAGATCATGCTACAAAAGAGAAGTTGGTGTGACTATTAGCTTTGAAAATGGAGGAATGAGTCATAAGCAACAAATGCAAGGAGTGCACTTTTAGAAGCTAGAAAATGCAAGGAAACAGATTCTCTCCTAGACTTTCCCTATGGAAAGTAACCCTGCTAACATGCTGGTTTTGCCCTAGTGAAACTCATTTGATTCTCCCTTCCCAAAATGTAAGAGAATAAATTTCTACTGTTTTAAGCCACAAAGTCTGTGATATCCATTACAGCAGCAATAGGAAACTAATACCTACCCATATATACATACATATTGTGTATATGTATATATACACATATATACTTTTGCAAAATTATTGTATACATTAAATAATATTTTCTTTTAAAATCCATTTAAATGAGAAAAATGTTTATAATAGTACTTAGCACAGAGTAAACAAGATATTCTATAATTTTCCATGAAATTGTATGAATTAACATTGAATAGAGGCATGAAGAATAACCATGACCAATCATGAGTGTCCTAGGCCACAGAACTTGAATTTAAAAACCTTCATTTTTAAACATAAAAAGTGAACAAAGTTAAAATGAATAGAGCTGTTAGGTGCACAGTTACCCAACTTATGAGCACAAATGTGTATACATTCATAAATGAGGCATTTCCTGGTATATAGTTTTTCAAACTTAGCTCTTTATCTCTTTCTGAATTAGATGACTGGTTTCTAAGAAATAATTTGAAAGCAGAGTAAAACAACTGACTCTTGAAATTTATTTTGACAGCAATTATGCCACAGGACAAGGATGTCCTTTTCCAGACCATACTGTAGTGGTACAAAATTTCAGTCAATAGAAAGGTATGTCTAAGTTCTCCTCTTTCTCTCATTACTTCATATTGGTGGAATAATATTAGGGGAAAATAAGCATGAAAAATAACATAAAATCTTTTCAGCAGAGTTCTATTAAGTACTAAATACAACCTAATTCTAATAAAACATAAATGTATTAGTGATTTATATTACATTATTATATACAATAATCTAATCCAACTGTGGATAAACTGTAGATATAGAAAAGTAATGGAAAAATCAATGTAAAAAAAAGGTACACAATGGGACCATTCCTTCCAAACCCCAATTAGAAAAGAGTCAATCTGCAAGAACAGTCTCTTTATCTAAATATTTAGGAAATTGATTTCTTTTTAATAATCATACTCACTATGCAAAAAAAAATATAGAACACTTCTGGCCAATAACAGAGATCAGACTTAACATTATGTTTGAAACAACTGAAAATCTAGACACCATGTATGAAACAATGATTTAATGAAACTGGAACCAGGAGACTGATGACAGATAGATGGCAAAATAGATGGCAACTAGCAACTATCCATCAACAAGATAGATACCTTTGTAAAGATCCCAGAACACAGGGGTACGGCTGAAGCAACCGCTTGGACTACAGAAGCAGAGAAAAGCTGTATTAGGAAGGTCAAGAGGAGCACTTTCACTTTGCCCACATTGCTCCTCCCCCAGGACAGCACAGTGCTGCACGGAGGGGGACCCCTGGGCCTACAGTTTCTCCAGTGGGAAAAGGAGAGTGCAAGATGGACGTCAAACTCCCCTAGCGTTCTGGATGAATCCTGGGAGGCCCACTTAAGTATGTCTCATGAGGATTACTGGGAAATTCAGCTAGAGACAGGGAAGGCAGGAGAGGCTCACAACAAGTGCATGGATCTTGACAGATGGTGTTCCTGTCGGTGGTGGGACCTTAGAGGAGATTCAAATCAGTCGCTCTGACTGTTTGCATAGCTGAGCCAGTGGCCCCAACTGGACAGTGAGTTTGACTGGCAGTTCTGCCTGGTTTGAGTCACCAGCCAGAAGGCTGTGTTGGTGGAGGAGCCCATTCTAGAGCACCTCCTAGACATGGAAGCAAGTCAGCAGGGCCTACTCAATGCAATTGCTGAGCACAACCTTCAGCTCCACAGGGGGAGGAAGCTTGGTCTGAGATGCAAGGCAACCAGCATCACACCCTACAGCCCAACCTGTAGGGAAGCAAGTTACTGACCACACCCAATTGCTGAGCATAGCCTCCAACTCCACTTAACAGAAGTTTGGCCAAAGATGGTAAGCAGCTGCACAATACATCCTTATGGCCTGCCAGAACAGAGAAACAGATAACAATGCAATAATAGTAATGAATTTCACTACTACTATGGGACCCCAATTTCACCAATGGATCGATTGATCAATCATCCAAACAGAAAATCAGTTTTATCCACAGCTGGATTAGATTATTATATATAATAATGTAATATAAATCACTAATACATTTATGTTTTATTAGAATTAGGTTGTATTTAGTACTTAACAGAACTCTGCTGAAAAATATATATATGCAAAAAATATATAGAACACCTTCTATATAAAACAGAGTTTTACTCTGTTTTCTGAGTAAGGCAACAGCCCCACCCAGCAGCTAAGCAAAGCCCTCAGTTCAACCAGACCGGGAAACCTAGCCAGGAACCCTAGGTAGCCACAAGGCTAATTCTTCAAAAGCATATAACAACTGTAACTATACATACACCTAACATCAGAGAATCTAAATATGTTAAGAAAATACCACTCAATCTGAATGGAGAAATAGATAACAATGCAATAATAGTAGTGAATTTCACTACTACTAGGGGACTCCACTTTCACCTATGAATCGATTGATCAATCATCGAAACAGAAAATCACTAAAAAAAAATTGGACTTGAACTACACTTTGGACTAAATGGACCTCATAGGCATAAACAGGTATGTAGCACTTAATGATGAGAACATGTTCTGAGAAATGTGTTATTGGGCAATTTTATCATGTGCCAACATGATAGAGTACATACTTAACAAAAATCTGGATCATAAAGCCTACTACACATGTAGGCTACATGGTAAAACCTACTGCTCCTACCCTACAAGTCTGTAGAGTGTGTTACTGTATAAAAACAACAAGAGACTAAGTCAAGCACAAAAGAAAATGATACAATCAAGAGACGCAGTGAACAGGACATGTGTAAGGCTGCTGCCGGCATAACACTGCATTCTGTTTTACAGAAAACTTTCTTCTCTCTATAAATGGAAAAAGTATACTCTAAAATAACAATAAAAATATAGTCTAGTAAAATACATAAACCAATAACATAATCATTTATTATCATTATTAATTATTATGTACTATAGATAACTGTATGTGCTGTGTTTTTATGACTGTCAGCAGAGTAAGTTTGTTTATATCCATATCACCACAAACACGGGAGCGATGTGTTTGTTTATGACATTACAATGGCTATGCCATCACTAGACAATAGAAAATTTCAGTTCCATTATCATCTTATGGGACCATTACCATACATGCAGTCTGCTGCTGATGAAATGTTGCTGTGCAGTACATGGATATTCAGAACATTCTATTGGACTGACTGAAATAGGAATAGGAATTTCTGTGCAGTTAGGTTTATAGGCAAGTTACAGATAAAGACAAGATAATGGAAAATGTCTAGGTCATTATCTAGACTAATAAAGAACTCCTTCAAATCTGTAAGAAAAAGACAATCTAATAGAAAATGGGAAAAGTACATGAACTAGTAATTCACAGATAAGGACTTTATTGATTAATAATTGTGAGAAGCGGTCACCTTTAAAATTTTAGTGACCAGGATATTCAAATTTAAAGAGATACCATTTCTCATCTATTAGGCTAACAATTAAAAAGTGTGATATTGAGTGTTGGTGAGGATATAGAGAAACTGGAACTCTCATACACTGTATTAGTTTGCTAGGGCTACCCTAACAAAATACCATAAAGTGGATGGCTAAATCAAAAGAAATTTCTTTTTCCACCATTATGAAGCCTGAAAGCCCAAAATCAAGGTGTTGGAAGGTTGGATTTCTTCTGAAGCCTCTCTCTCTGGCTTGTAGATGGCCACTTTCTCATGTATGCTCACCAGATCTTTCCTCTGTGTCAGCAATTCCCTGATGTCTCTTTTGCGTGTCCAAATTCCCTCTTCTAAGGAC